TAAAATTAATAATTTTAATAATAAAAAATAAAAATATTTTAAAAAATATACTTATTTGTTTTTAAACATGTCCTTATTAGTCATTTAATGTTAACTAACAACCGCTAACTATTGTATAACTAAACAGTTACATTTATCGAATCCGCTATTTATCATCCGCTACCCACTTTCCGCTATCCGCTATCCGCCATCCGTTATCCGCTAACCGCTACCCGCTACCCGCTATTCGCTATCTGCTGAATTTTAATCGCTGTACCAAACAGGCCCTTAATTAATCACAATCCTTATGGGTTGGACACTCTTCTCATCATTATATTATTTGGAGCCATTAGTACACTTGCTAAAGTGATTTTAATGTATCATTGTCCCAATGGTAGGATGATCATTGGGTCTTGGTACAAGAGTCCAAACCTTATTCCTTTGGAATTGGTTTAGTTCTTGCATTGCCATAATCCAATTTTCATCATTTAGGGCATCATTCACATCCTTGGGCTCGATTTGGGATATAAAGGCATAATTAGCATGAAAATGAAGTTGAGATCTAGTAAGTACTCCCTGGTTTATGTCTCCTATGATTTGTTCTTTTGGATGGTCCTTTTTAAACTTCCAAACTACTGGTAACTCATGGTCCTTAGTAATCTCATCTTCTTGTTTTGGTTTTTCTTCTTGCTATATTTTACCTTCACATTTGGGTTGTTCTCTTTTATCTCCAAGCTTGCCTGCATCATCATCAAAATTCTCCTTTCTCAGGTGAGACTTGTTCCATCAAAAGTAACATGAATGGACTCTTCAACAACTAGAGTCCTTTTGTTATAAATTCTATGTGCCTTACTAATTAAAGAATAGCCAAGAAAAATACCTTGATCACTTTTTGGATCAAACTTACTAAGTGAGCTCTTACCATTATTCAAGATGAAACACTTACATCCAAATGCATGAAAATATGAAATGTTAGGCTTTATACCCTTCCATAGCTCATATAGAGTCTTATTGAGTATAGGCATAATGAGAACTCTATTTAGAATATAGCAAGAGGTGTTAACAGCCTCAGCCCACAAGTATTTGGGTAAATGACCTTCACACAGCATTGTCCTTGCCATTTCTTGTAGAGTCCTATTCTTTCTCTCAACAACTCCATTTTGTTGTGGAGTTTTAGGAGAAGAAAAATTATGCTCAATGATGTGCTCTTCACAAAAATCTTTTATGTCATGATTTTAAAATTTGCCTCCATGATCACTTCTAATGCATGAAATCATAAAGTCTTTTTCATTTTGCATCTTCTTGCAAAAATTTGAAAACTCATGGAGGGTGTCATTTTTATGTGCAAGAAACAATGCCCATATGAATCTAGTGTAATCATCAACAATGACCAAGGTATACCTCTTACCACTCAAGCTATGAGTGTCAATAGGACCAAATAAATCTAAATGCAATAATTGTAGTGGCCTAGTAATTAAAACAATATTCTTGGATTTAAATGATTCCTTGGTTTGTTTCCCTTATTAACAAGCATCGCACACCTTGTCCTTGTTAAAGGAGAGATTTGGCAAGCCATCAACTAAGTTCTTCTTACCAAATTTCAATATTAGATCCATTGACATATGGCTTGATGCCACAACCAACTATCAACATTGTTATTTTGAGCTATTAAGCACTTAACATTGAAAGAAGACAAATCATCAAGGCTAATTTTGTAAATGTTTCCATGTCTTTTACCAATTAACTTGATTTGGTCATTTTTGAGATCAACTACTTTGCATGCATGTGATTCAAATATGATTTGAAAACCTTTATCACATAATTGACTAATGCTTCAACACTTCAACTAACCACACATTTTCAATGGAAGAGGAAGTATTTTTCATTGTTTTTAAAATCAGATCGGATCGACCAATTGAATTGGTCCAACTATCACCTGGTAGCTGAAACAGGCTGGGTGGATGTCCAAGCCCATTGGGACGATCAGACCGTCTAGAATTGATAAACCCGCCTGACCTGTCCCGCCCGGCAGACCCGATTAACCCGTCGGGCAAATTGCTCCACATTGCAACTTCCCCTGTTTTTTTTCTTTTCCTTTTTCTTCCACAGTAGGTTCAAGCTTCAAAGCAAGGTTTTTAAAATCGGACTGGTTATTGAACCCTTTTTAGGTTCGGTTCTCGATTCAATTGGTTCAATCGGTTCAACCGATGAACCGATCGGTCCAAACAGCAAGGAACATTTGATGAGAGGAGCAAACTGCAAGCATGGATTTTCTAATTTGGTGTTTGATAATTTTGTAATTTTGTTAAAATTAAAGGTTAAAATGGGTATAAGAAAGGAATGGAAATGATGAAATTGGAAAAAATTGAAAGAAGATTGCATGAGAAATTGAACTAGTAGTTTTTTTGGTTCCACTCGTTTCACCAGTTTTGACCGATTTTTACCAGTTTTGACATCAAACGGTTTTTTTATGTAAACCGAACCGTTTTCATCACTGGGTACTGGTCTGACCGGTTTAACCGGCCGATCCGATCCGATTTTAAAAACCTTGCTTCAAAGCTTACATCTGTTGCCTCCAAGGTTTGAACACGTGACTTCAAGTAGCCTTTCAATAATTTTTGCCACTTGCACCTCACCATTTGAATTGATATCCTTTGATTAAAATTTTATTTCTTTTATTTGAAGAAGAAAATAATTAAATTCTCGTTTAAGGAATCCAACTTCCTTTTAACTTTTATTGAATTCTTATGTAAAGA